GACAAAAAAATTAACAGAAAAACAGTCTTCCCTGGCAGGTGAAAATGGTATAAATGCCAAACCTTGGTTATAAAGTTCTAATAAAACACGGTCACCATTGGTTTTTCTGTATTGCCTATGGCTGCTTTCACAGCTAACAGAGCTGAGTAGGGGCAACACAAAGCCAAAAATATGAGGCAGGTGTACACCTGTAGGACTAGTTACTCAGGAGGCTGAGGCAGGAGGATTGCTTGAGCCTTAAAGCTTGAGGCTGCAGTGAGCTAGGATTGGGCCAATGCACTCCAGCCTGGGGAACAGAGTGAGACTCTGTTGGGAGTGAGGGTCCTAAAATCGTCATGCATTGCTTAATAAAAGGGGCACGTTCTGAGAAATGCATGGTTAAGGATTTTAAAATGGCACATCTGTATAAACAGCTTGTCAGGAATGGAGCTTGCGGGACTGAAGTGCTCTGGATGAATCAGTACCTGAGTAGTGAATGAATGTGAAGGCCTAGCACGTGACTGTATAGCACCGTAAACTTTCTAAACGCTGTGAACACAGGCTATACTGTGTTTATTTTTAAAAAAACCCTTTCCTCAATAAATTTTGCTTACCATGACATTTGACAATTTATAAACTTTTAACTTTTTGATAATCTTGTAGTAACAGCTTCAAATACTTTTTAGAGCTGTACAGAAATATTTTCTTTCCTTTTTTTCTGCTCCGTAGCCCCAGAATGCAGTAGTGACCTTAGCTCACTGCAGCCTGGAACTCCTAGGCTCAAGCGATCCTCCCCCCTCAGCCTCCCTAGTGCCTGAGACCACAGGCATGCGCCACCATGCCCAGCTAATTGTTTTTTTTTAGTGGAAATAGGGTCTTGCAACGTTGCCCAGGCTGGTCTCGAAGTCCTGGCCTCAAGCCATCCCCTCGCCTCATCCTTCCAGAGTGCCGGGATTACAGGCATGAGCCACTGCGTGGCAGCCTTCTGTATAAAAATCCTTATTTTATAAGTTTTTTCTATTGTTGAATTTTTTAATTTTTTACACTTGAAATTTTTTGTTAAAAATGAAGACAAAAACACACACATCAGCTCAGGCCTACACAGGGTCAGGATCATAAATATGACTGTCCTCTGCCTTGACATCTTGTCCCACTGAGGTCAGGGCAGTAACATACGCGGTACTGTCATCTCCTATGGTAACAACGCCTTCTTCTGGAATCATTACTGAAGGACCTGCCTGAGGCGGTTGTATAGTTAACTTTTAAAAAGTAACTAGACGGGGCTTGTTGGCTCACACCTGTAATCCCAGCACTCTGGGAGGCTGAGGCAGGCAGCTCACTTGAGGTCAGGAGTTCAAAACCAGCTGGGCCAATATGATGAAACCCTCTTTCTACCAAAAAATAAAAAAACTAGCCGGGCCTGGTGGTGCGTACCTGTAGTTTCAGCTACTTAGAAGGCTGAAGTGGGAGGATCCTTTGAGCCCCAGAGGTGGAGGTTGCAGGGAGCCAAGATTGTGCCACTGCACTCCAGCCTGGGTGCCAGAGGGAGACCCTGTGTTGAAAGAACTAAACAAAACTAGAAGAAATACACTCTAAAATAATGATTGAAAGTAGAGCATAGTAAATACAGAAACCAGTAAGAGTTGTTTACCATCGAGTATTGTGTAGTGGACATGACTGCACGTGCTGTGTGTTCACGTGACTGGCAGGGCACTAGGTTTGTTTACACCAGCATCACCACAACCATGTGAGCAACGCACCAGGTGCCACCATATTACCACAGCAACAATGTCTCCAGGGGAGACACACTTTCATTTGCAATGCAGTCCGCACTGAGCAGAACGATACTGTGTGATGCACGCCTGCGATGACTATCTGGCCCTTTACAGAAAACAGTCGCTGGCCCCTGCTCTGAAACATGCAAACCACCATGGAAAAGGGTAAGGAAAGCTGCTTAAGTTGAAATTTGCTTTCTAAGCTAAGAAAAAGTAAGGAATGTGTTTTCTTTTTTTTTTTTTTTTTTTTTTTGAGACGGAGTTTCGCTCTTGTTACCCAGGCTGGAGTGCAATGGCGCGATCTCGGCTCACCGCAACCTCCGCCTCCTGGGTTCAGGCAATTCTCCTGCCTCAGCCTCCTGAGTAAAGGATAGTGTTTCTATACGCGCCGATTACTGTACACACTGTCAAGGCCGTTCTAATGCTTCTCACTAATCATTTCATTTAATCCTCATAGTAAGTTGACATTTAACATCTAATCCTCCTAATATTGTCATTAACTCCATTTTATAGATGAGGCAAGTTAGGCCTCCCAGACTGAACTGTTATATACAGCTTAAAAAATTACTTAATTTCTTTGTGCCTAACAGGTACACACTCACTTATCCAAATTTCTCTTTCTTTAGAATGAGATCAAAGTAGAACTTCAGCTAGGAACGAGTGCACGTTCATAGTAACGGCTGGACCACATGACCATCACTTCAGGCAAATCCCTTCGGTGAAAAAACTCCAACAGGTTGTAGCATTCTTTCTTGTCCAGGGTCTACATTACACAGGTGTGTTCAGTTTGTGAAAATTCATTGAGCTGTAGAATTAGGAAGTGTGCACTTTTCTGTGTGTGTGTATTATACACGAGTAATAAGTTTCAAGGTGACTGCTGCCACCTGGTATCTTGACCTCAGCCCTGTAAAGCCATCTCGAGCTAGACGCACCCAGTTTTGTGATCTAAGTTCCTAGGTTTTAGGGTAATTTGTTACTTAACAGTAGATAACTAATACATCCTGAAGTTGACATGAGTATTTACATTGAAAAGAGAGATAGACAATAAACCTAGAAAATCAAAAGAATACTAACTTAAAGGAAAATCAAGGCCAATAAACTGCAAATTAAATACAGATAAAGGGATACGGTATTGTACTATTTCAAAAATACTTGTAGGGGCAAGGCACAGTGGCTCCCTGTAATCCCAGCACTCTGAGAGGCCAAGGCAGCAGGATTGCTTGAGGCCACAAGTTCAAGACCAGCCAGGGGGACACAGACCTTGTCTCTACAAAAATTGTTAAAAATCAGCTGGGCATGGTGGCGCAGTCCTGTAATAAGCTACTCAGGAGGCTGAGGTGGGAGGACTGCTAGAGCCCAGGAGGTCGAGGCTACAGTGAGGTAGCTCCTGCCACTGCACTCCAGCCTGGGTGAAGAGCAAGACCCTGTCTCCCCATGCCCCCAAAAAAGACCATATTGTAGAAATGTCAATTTTGCCCAAATTTCTTCATAGGTTTATTTTATTCTAGTTAGAATGAGAAGATAATAAGGGGATGTCTTAAAGAACATGACATAACCCTGTAACCATTACCCCGAAGAACAAACACGTAGCATTAGTTAAGACCAATTTTAAACAGAAAGACAAATCCGAGGGATGAATCTTGCCACTGAGAAACATCCTATGGGAGAAGACAGCCCATACATGAAGGCCTAGTTCACAAGTCACTTCCTTACCCAGGTTATATGCTGTTAATATGTTGTATTTTTATTTCTAAGCACTTACGCTATAGCTGTATAAGTGGCAACCATATAATCATTACTGTAGCGATTAGCGGACCTCCCTGTCAGAACTGTGAGCTCCAAGAGACCTGGTGAGTGTCTGTGCTGCCAGGACCCAGCAGTCTGTGTACCGAGGGCTCACAGGACAATGCAGGCAGACACACTCATGCCCTGATCATTTACGGCTAAAATACAACCACCTCTGCGATGGGAAGCCTGGCAACTTGCTTAAAACCAAGATCTTAAATGGGCACATCTTTTGACTGAGTGACGCACTTCCAGAAACCTGGTGAATCCTGTGCAAAGCTACGCATTACAATGCGTTTGTCACAGCTAAAAGCGAGATGTAACTGTCAGCTACCAGACTGGATTATTTGACAATGACATTTAGAGAAAATGTGGTTATGAGACAACTGATTGCTATAATGAAAAAAAAATCCAGATTATGAAAATGTAGAATTATACACAAGGTATGAATACAACGGTGCTTAAAAAATACAAACTCCCAAGTACACATCTTACATAGAGAATGGAAGACAATATTCTAAGGTATACTTTTAAATGTATTTGTATTTGTAAATACAACCACGGTATTCTAGGGGGAAGCCATTATGCTGAGTGCAGGGGAAATAACTCTCCCCTAGAGAATGCAGACTTCCACCCTGATAAAAACGCCATTTACATTCTCTCTTACCTGGTATACAAGTTTATTGCACGTTAACAGCAAGCCTCATGTCCCAGCCCTAACAGACTGAATTCATTACAACAAAAATATTTCATACCATCTTTACCTATCTGAGAAATATCAACCGTAACAACTCAAACTCCCACGTGACATCAGAGGGCAGATGACTGGGAAACCCACAGCGTCTCAGCTTTTTGTGAGCTTGCCCTGTAGTTCTGCTCTCTACAGACACGCAGCAAAGCAATGTGTATCAAGTAAAGATCCAAACAAGAGGTCCTATCAGGACTGTTTCCATGCACCACATTGCGCTCCAGGTGTCTACGTTCTTAAAGGCACTGGAGAGCTGCTTACCTTGCAGTTACATGGTAAGGGTGCTTAGGCTCCAGGTTAATTACATCGCTGCTGCTGGCTATGTAAGCAACAGAAGATACTGAAATGGCAGAAATGTAATACAAACCAGTTTTCATTTCTTACGCAATTATTTCACCATACTGCAAACAAAATCAGAAAAAGGCAAACTCAAGAAGAAGAAATTCTATACTCAAATATGTCAGCTGGCGTATCCAAGAGTATGTGACACAGATTCGTGAGAGTGAAATAAACTCAAAGGCTGTGATGGAATAAAAACTCAACTGTGGGACGAGCCAAACCCGGCCCGGAATTCACGTGCGTGTCCACCATCTACACCGTCCCGTGAAGGCTAACGATCGGTTCTGGCTTGTCACAGCAGACGGGAAACATCGCTATGGCTGGTTAATGAGTTCTCCCCGCAAGAGATACTTAGAAATACCAGAATTACTCACGTGATGTCTCTTCGTTGATAGCAGCCCTGAAGCAGGCAGGCAATCAGGTCACTGATAAACTCCACGTCATCTCTGTGAAGGGCGGCTTCTAACTCCTGAGGGAGGCAGAGAGGGAAGTTGAGAAATCAGAGGTTTCGTGAAACGCACTCCCTCCCTGCCGCCAGCACAAGCCCCAAGAACTGAACGGTCTCAGGAGCAGGTGGACTTGCCAGAGATCAGCTGTGTCCTTGCTTTAGGTTACCATAAGCAGAGCAACTGTCTTCCCCATTTTCTTTTCCTGGGGGCTTATTCATCCCACTGCTCCTTCCCAACCCATTCCTCTTACCCGTACGTGGGAAGAAGCATGAATAACAATTTTTGATAAATCAATGGTAGCTGCGTAATTAAAGAGCTTAACTCTTTGATTATATATAATCGAGTATAAATATAAACGTGCTGTACTGCTTTCTATTTTAATCGCAAAAGAGGAAAAGAGCGCTCACGTAAGTGTTTGTAAAGTATGTGTCATTTACTTAAACCTTCTCAAGAGATAAACCAACTGCAGGAGCTTTCAAGAACCACTACATTTTGAATGGCATTGGTTAGTAAGCAATAATGACAATTTTTATTTTCGGACACCACACCTACATGGCTGATGACAGCAGATTGCGAGAACCAAGGCTAATCTTACATCATCTAAACAGAATGAGGTAACACCTATGTAGGTGTCTTGGCTTTGCTTGGGGTTCAGCTTGTCTTGACATGGTATTCTCACAAAGAATTGCTTGGAAAGGTCCACTGGACAAAGTGGCAGTGGGAACTTCGGGAGATCCTATTTCCCTCCTCAATAACCCCAAATAAGCAGGCATTTTTTGGGATGACAGCATCATTTAGTTTGCCCACAGTCTTTCAACCAGGATGCAATCTTCTGCATGCAAACCATTTCCCAAGAGTCTGCTCCCTATGGTTTGACTTGCTCATAACCAGATCAACAATCCCCAGAAAAACCAAACTTCTGACAATCTTATTAACCGTTCTGAAAGCACGAGATGTGTGTAAGATGCAACTTTTGATCTTAACGGCAATTGCATGGTAGCCGACACTACACAGGGTGGTCTGCTTCTAGTACAGAAATACCATGGCTCTGGCCAGGCATGGTGGCTCACTTAAGTGAAGAGATCGAGACCAGCCTGGCCAACATGGTGAAACCCCGTCTCTACTAAAAACACAAAAATTAGCCAGGTGTGGTGGCATGCACATGTGATCCCAGCTACTGAGGCTGAGACACAAGAATCGCTTGAACCTGGGAGGTGGAGACTGCAGTGAAACAAGATCACGCCACTGTACTCCAGCCTGGGCGACAGAGCGAGATGCGGTCTCAAACAAACAAAAAACACAAACCAATCAGTACTAGCCGGTACAGAAAACATGCTCTGGGAGCTGAGAAGAAAAGGGTTACTTCTGCCGTGGAAGCCTGGGAGAGCTGGTGAGACGGGAAATTGTGACCGAGTGACAATGGGGAGGGAGGAGGGGCATGAACAGGTGCAGGGGGATATTAGGTTCAGTTTAACTATTCCGTAGGTTATGTGAAGGGGAGTAATGTGAGCTGAGATTGACAGGCGATTCTGAATACCCAGCTAATGAGTTTGGCCTTTCCTCGGGAGACAATAGAGGTCCACCTCAGTTTATTTCTACAGAGAGGCAAAGTGAGACTGATCTAGCTGCTGTGTATATACAAGGAACTCTAGTGGCAGAGGGTGGGAGGGGAGATGTTAGCCCGAGTCAACGGTGTAGGAAGACGGCTCTGAAGGACTTACTAAATGAGGGAAGGGGCAAGAAAGGAGAAAGAGGAATTCAAGATTTGCCAGAAGTAAAGGCCGGTGAGGCGAGGGAAGACTTGAATGGCTCATGTTTTAAGCTGGGCACGGGGTAAGCCTCCCAGTGACTTCTAACAGAGGCGAAATTCTCAAAGCAAAAAGTCCCAGGTCATCTCAGTTGAAAGGCAGGTCAGAATCAAGGAATGCTAGTGCTGGAAATAAAACCACAGGTCACATATTTCCGTTCTCTCAATTTAAATTTGCAGAAACTAGCCGGGTGTAGGGGTGCGTGCCTATGGTCCCAGATACATGGGAGGCTGAGGCAGGGGCATCGCTGAGCCCAGGAGTTTGAGACCAGCCTGGGCAGCACAGCAAGACCTTGTCTCTTTTAAGTGTCGGGGGAGGACCAAGATAAAGTAGGTTTGGAAAGGTTAACCGGTTTCTCCGAGGGCACTCGGCAGAGCAGTGACAGAGCTGAGTGAAACCCAGGTCACCGAGTGCAGTGTTCTTCCTACAGCCACGCTGCTCCCCGTTGCCAACATTCTCCATTCTAAAAAGCCCTGATGGTTTCTACAATTAGAATGACCACCCCAAACGCTGGGTCTTTTCTCTAAGCCCTCACACGTGTCATTCTCCCTAGGTGGGATTCCTTTCCGTCTGCCAAGCCATACTGCAGTTCTTTACTTTAGAAACTTTACCTGCGAAGTCCTCCCAGCTGAGCTCCGCCACACTGCTCCCACCACCGCTACCTGTCACTGTGGCATCCATGCAACCCCACACATTTCTTTCCTTTTATTTTTGAGACGGAGTCTCACTCTGTCACCAGGCTGGAGTACAGCGGCGTGATGCCGGCTCACTGTAACCTCTGCCTCCCAGGCTCCAGCGATTCTCCTACCTCAGCCTTCTGAGTAGCTGAGATGACAGGCGCACGCCACCATGCCCAGCCAATTTTCATATTTTTAGTAGAAATGGGGTTTCACCATGTTGGTCAGGATTAAATTAAACAAATAAACAAACAACACAAACCAATGGTCTTGATCTCCTGACCTCGTGATCTGCCTGCCTCGGCCTCTCAAAGTGCTGGGATTGCAGGTGTGAGCCACTGCACCCGGCGCATGCCCACACATCTCTATTGGTCCAGTTCAGCTCCCTTCTCTGCCACCGTAAACTAAGAGCCCAACGGGATCGTGATTAAAGGTGCTATAGTCTGCACTCACTGATGTCTCCTAAGATTTTTTTAAAGAATGCAAGTGCCAAATTAAATGATAATAAAGACAACACTGGAGGCGGAGGTGAGAGGGTCGCTTAAAGCCAGGAGTTCAAGACCATCCTAAGCAACAGAGCGAGACCCCCATCCCCACAGAAATAAGTAACAAAGGCCACGTTTGAGAGGATAAGCTAAGAACGGGGAGGGCATTACCAACAGGGGGCCGCATAAAGTTTGCCATGTGGCTCACGTGGCATCTCCTTAGATATCACTTCTACAATTAGGTTTCCGGGAAAATTACCGTTCTCCCCACCTCTGCCTTCCGCACACAGATATCCTCTTCTGGCTTCCCCCTCCAGTGCTGCCTAGGTTCTAGCTAGAATACTATCCTTCAAGGAGGCAAACAAGTTTTCTGCATTGTAGCAAGTGTCAGGAATGCCTTTCCTTATAACACAATAGAAAGCAGAATACCAGGGCTGCTGAACCAGCTCTTCCAAGGAGAAATGAATAGGCTTAAATGGTCTCTCAAAGGACGCAGGTAGGGAGAGGAGCTGTATCATTTATTAAATATTCCAACTCTTCTCCCTTGCCTGCTATAACCCATTGCATAAGCCCTGGAATGCAGTAACTAACTCATCAAGTCATTGAAAACAGGGTCACAATGTAAAATTGCTTTTTAAATCTAATTCTATGACATTATGTTTAATGTGTCAGAAGCCACCCAGAAAACCCACCAAAAAATTTGCAGATCCAAGCTAACTTGCGAGGTGACGAACTCATTGCTGAACTTACACCTGGAGCTCGGAAGAACTTAAAATGCAGGGTCAGCGAAGGTGAGAACCAAGGATGGTGGTGAAGCCCTGGAGGGCAAACCTTTCCCCTTTCCCGTTAGTAACTGTAAACCCTGGCAGTTGCTACCGGGTGGATAAACCCAGGCACAGTAAATACAAGCCCTGGTCTCCCTGTCCTGTGATGAAATGCAGAGGCAGGTTTTTATATCCAAACAGCAAAGAGGAAAGAAACAGGAAAGCTATTTTTAATCCCGCTGAACAGAAGAAATGGCTGAACAGTTAAAATATTGGCTAATCAGTTAAAACGTTTTCCCATTAGTTTTAATGGGTTATTTCGGGTATTGGCATTTGCAAGATGAAAAAGATGTGTGTGACAACAATGTGAATCTACTTAATACTGTTGAACTGACCACTTGCTTTTCCACATTAACAGCGTCTATTTCCGAGGGCTGTCATGATTACGCGAAACAACGGCACACAGCGAATGCTCCAGGAAAACATTTATCTTACGATGATTTCATCTTCCTCACAATGATAGTTGGTGGAAAAACGGCAAAGTGTCCTTTTCAAATTTCGGAGGTCTCCGAACAACAGAAATCCATCTGCTTTTAATATATGGCCTGCTGTGTTCATGTGCCAAGAAAACTATCTGCAAGAACGACTTGGAAATCCAGGTTACTGCTTACAAAGCTTTACTGCCTAAGGTTTCAACCCAGAGCTTAAGTCTCAGACCAAGGCAATAAGGGACTCTACTACAAATCTCCAGCCCAGCCTTTTCTCTCTTTTTTCCTCTCACTTTCTCTCCCCCGCTTTTGTATTTCCTTTTCACTGTGAGCACTGAGCTGTGAGCACAGAAATCTGAACTTTGCCAAGATGCTCTGGGACAGAAGAGGAAGGGGGGAAAAAACAGCAGAAAAGGCAGCTAATCAGCATAGGGCAGGGAGACCCGTCACCACTGCCCCAGTGCCGCTTCAGAGGGTAGCTGAAGGCAGTAACAGGATTTGCCGCCTCTGCAGCTGGCATCGCGGCTCATTAGGGAAAAGTCTGTTCAACATCCTTCTACCTTCTCCACCCTCAAGGAACCAGTCCTTCCAGCCCTGCAGTGGCTGCTGGGAAAAGAACTCAGAGGTGAGCAAGGGGACCAGCCCCCAGCCTCACACCGCGATGGGAACAAGCAGAAGAAACAGGGTCTTTACCGTACCTCTTGAGAAATGCAGTTACCCTTCTGCACTGGGAAAGTCCTGCCTGCCTAATACACAAAGACGATTTCCAGGCTCGAGGCAGTCCAGTGACATACGCAG